CCTGTGTTGTGGAATTGGATGTCGTGGCAGTTTTCAGCACACGTACTTCTTTCGCAATTCTTTCTTAGTTTCTTGCTTAGTTGCTGAAATGGTGGCTTGGTGTAATTGGCTGAATAAGTGTTGTTGATTAGGATTTACAGGTAGTTTAGTGAACAGTGGTAATTTTTTAAACGAAAATCGGCCGGAGGCTTTGGCTTAAGGGGATGACGGAAAAAATATGTTTTAGATTATTGAGCATTCTGTGGGCAAGTTGATAGACGTAGCGGATTTGGAAAAGCAGTAAGAAAGTTAAAAGCGATGCTGTTTTATAAATAATTTTTTCCATTCTGCTGTGCAGTAAAATACTGTTGTTAAGTTTTTAGCAGTCTGCTATATGCATTATCAGATACTTGTCTTGGGCTTGGTGGCAGAATTTTATTCCCGTGTTTGGCCATTAAATGCAGTAATGCGCAGATTTTTTAGAACAGTTGATAAAAGATAATGAATTATAGAGAAAGATTCGGCAAGATATAAGAAAGTAGAACAGAACTGATTATTTTTTCAAAATCAATTTGGAAAGAACTTTTTAGAATTCTTTTATTTTTAGAAAAAATATTGGTATTTTTTTAATACGAGACCGATACGACAAAAAAAAAGAACAGCTGTCATGATTGGGGAAGGAATTAAAACGAGCATCTTTGCAGACATTTTGAAGCTATCCGTCAACGTTTAACTTCGTTCAATTGCTAAGAACTAGAAGATCGACTTTATCCTGCAAAACAACGGCAGGTACCTTTAGTGATTCTGGAATGCGAAGTTGTAATGAGTAATTTACTTGCTTTTGGCCCGTCATTTGGGTTAACTTTTAAGAAGGCGTCTTGCATGTCAAGCGTGTTTTCATCTCCATTTTTTAAATCGTCACAACAGTTTATCATTTAACTTCCTGCAACGACCTAAAAATTGACTCGTCAGGTGATGATTACATCCCTTCTTCTTTTTTTTTAAATTGAATTCTATCAAGTTACAAAGAAGAACTAGTATCAAATATTAAAATTCTTGAAAAATTACCTTTGCCAAAACCGTTACTACCTGTTTCTTTTTCTACAGGTGACATTTTACAAAATGATCTCATCAAAGGCGATTTTGTAGCAACTAAAAGCTTTTTTTAATAATACCTTTCCCGTATAGAAGAC